ACCTCATAGTGGATCTGGGACCCCTGACCAGGACCCCCTACCTCATAGTGGATCTGGGACCCCCTCACCAGGACCTCCCACCTCATAGTGGATCTGGGACCCCTCACCAGGACCCCCCACCTCATAGTGGATCTGGGACCCCTCACCACGACTCCACCCCACCTCCTGAGGGATCTGGAACTTTCGGACCACGCCCAGCTCGTAGTACATCTGGATGCCGCATTTGACCAGCTCCAGCTCTGTGCACTCCAGATCAGAGAAGTGGAACTCATAGATGTCGAACTTGTTGGGCCCCGGAAGCACTTCCTTCTGTGGGAAGAATTGTGGGGCTGAGGGAGGCAGGCTTTTCTCTTCCTTCCCAGGACCCTCTGTCCAGCCTCAGATGCCCCAGTTGTGTGGTGACATCCCCCCTCGCGGTTGCTTTGGCCTGTGGCTGGGACACTCACATGCCCTGCGCTTCAGCCCCCACCCAAGGCCCCACAACAAGTACAGGGGTGTTGTCAGGAAAACAGATGCAAAAACACACACGTAAAGAGATCCAGGCACACAGGTGATGCACAGACACACACACGGACCCAGGCACAGGGATATGCAGACAGCAGCAGACATCAGGAAGTGACATGCTCTGGTCTCCTAGGAATGAGGAAGTCTCTCCCGACCCTCAGGCCCCTCCAGTCTCCACCTGAGGGGTGGGAGTCAGGTTCTGACCAAGATTGTCCCCAGCTCATCCTCCTCACAGTCAGCAGGCTCCTTCCCCAGGCGTTCCCTTGTTGGCTAGGAGAGAAAACAAAGGCGCTGAGACAGAGAAAGTGCCAGCTATGCCCCTCACGAGCATGGGACGAGGTGACAGCACTACACCCCTCATGACTATGAGACAAGGTGACATCTGGCACAAGACAACAATTGCCTTGGGAAGCCACAGCTGGAGCCTCTAGCTTCAGAGGTAAGTGACAGTGCCTATGGGGTACCTCACATTTCCTGCGTGTCCCCCCCACCCCCAGCACTGTTCTGTGCTGTCCACATGGACAACTGATGGAGCCCTTGCACAGCACAACCAGGAGGGCTCTGGACGCTGCTCACAGCTGAGGACACAGGGCAGGGACTGCCCCTGGCCACGCAGAGCATGTGGGACTCCAGGACCGGCTGGGCCCTCTGACCACAGGACGTGCCCTAACTACTGGGATGTGCTGCCTGTGGAGAGGGGGCCAGGCTGTGACAGGAGCGGTACCAGGACCAGCTGGATCTCGTCCTTGTCGCATCTCACGTGGTAGAGAACCATGTCCTGTGCGATGTCCTTGCGGTTCTCCAGCTTGTTCATCTTGTCGTAGGTGTCAGTGTTCAGCACTGACCAGCCCAGGAACTGAGTGAGGGACTGCAGACAGAGAAGCAGCGTCACCACCCACCACGTGCCCGCTGGGTGCCAGGCCCTGTGTCCTGGTGTGTGGAGTGTCACTCTGGGGCAGTGAGTGCTTCTAATGGGGTCTCCGGGGTGGAAGGGGGTTCCAGGATGGGGCCTCAAGCTCCCCCTTGTCCCCACTCTCCTTGGGCCTCACGCTGGGTCCTAATGCTAAAGTAGGTGACGGGGGGTGGGACTCCACATGGCTGTGTCCCATGCCATCCCACAGGTGTCACCTCTGAGAGCCGCACCTGGGACAGGTGTTTACCTCCATGAGGACTTCATCCTGTTCGTCAAAGGGCTTCCCGTCTTTCCTGTTGTAGAAGGTTGCGACCCCCACAATCTCCTCCTTTTTGTTGACGATGGGCATGGAGAGGACATTCTTGATGGTCCACCCTGAGTCGTCCAGAGGCCCTTCCTGCAGGGAGAGGCGTCCAGAGACACCTGCTACTCTGGGCCTGGCCCTGGCCCAGGCTTGTCACCCAGAGAGTGTGAACCTCTTTTCTGCTGCCCTCAACCTGCGGTGACTGGGCTGTTGTTCCTGTCTGTTCACTCCCCCCATGCACGAGCACCTCACATCTATGGGTTTGTGTTGTGCCTTCTCCCACCAGCTAAGGATGACGCTCTTTGCCCACCAGGGCGGCTTCATGGTGTGAGTTCTGTGGTCACACAGGATCCTTCTCTTGGAAGGCTCCCACGCTCATTTGAATCTCTGCTGCCATGCTCTTAAAGTTTTTCATGGCTGTCGAGCACGGGGCCTTGCAGCCCATTCTGTTGGGCCCCACGAATCGTCTCACCGTCCATTGGTCACAGCCAGTGAGATATGAGCAGTGGCCAGCTCCTGGGAGAGGCCTTGGAGACAAAGGCCGATTGCACTGGCCCACTTGACTCTTGGCCCCCTCCAGAAAAGAGCGTGTTTGGGCCTTGTGTCCCCAGAGGAGGACCCAAGGGGCAGGAAACCTCACCGTGGCCTGGCCCTGCCCCACCAACCCGAGACCTGAGCACGGAAGGTACGTGTTTGCTGCTGTTAGCGCCTGAGATTTTCTTGAGGAGCGAAAACTAATTCAGCCCATCATTTCCCTAAGTACGGCATACTTTCTCTAATGAATGGATAGATACCTGAAATTTGAACATTTCGTCGGCGGGGGCATTCATAATGTTACAGATCTGAAAGAGGATCAGGAAAACAGTTTCACCTGAAGCAGCCAAATGTACCATATGATTCTAAACCAGACTATCCAGCCTGATGGATTCTAAGTAGGCGAAGCAGGGCAGCTGGGAGAGGTGCACGTGCTGGTGGGAAGGGCTGGGGCACCAGTTGAGGGCAGAGCCTCAGCAGACTCACAAAGCCACTTTCTGCCACGTAGGTTGGAAGGCCACTGGCCAGGGCCCAGTGATCGGCTGGGGGTGTGCTGGGGGAGAGAACAGAGGGGCAGATGGTGGATGGGTTGTCCGATGCGTGCATGTAGATTTGGCACAGTGTGTGTGTTAACGTTCATTCCCTTTTCTGAGCTCTGGGCGGGGCGGGAAGGCTAGCAGGTTGTGCCTCAGGGAGATCGGGAGGAGGCCAGGGGTTAAGTTTGGGGATGACTGTGCTGTTTTATCCCTCTTCTGCCTATGCTGAGGCCCCTTACCCTGTAGCAGCCCCTTCACCACTGGGGGCCCCACGCTTCAACCCAGCCCCAGGGCTCAGTGTCAGTCACCTGTCCTGTGGCCTCGCACCTGGATCCCAGACCCTTCGTGGGACCTGCAGGGTGGGGTCCTGACAGGCTTATGGGGTTGCAGGGTCACATGGTCATGCAGCTATAGAGCTGGCAATGGCCAACACCTCTCCCCAGTCTGTCTAGTTTGGAGCCCCTCCCTGCCCTCTGCCTAGCTGTGCCTCCACTGGGACAGGCATCCCCCCTATCTTGCCCCACTGGGTGTGCCTTCTGGGGACCCCACCTGTGTGGGTGGCTGGGTGAACCAGGATGAGACTTGAGGCCTCAAAGGTCAGTTGCTGCTGCCAGGGCTACCTGGACAGCTCACCTGAGCCTTTGAAAGTGCGCCCTGGACATGCTCTGTGCCTCCCTCCCCACATCCTCACTCATTTCCTCCCATATTGGTGAGTCACCCTCCCTTCCCACCCCATTTCTGCCTTGCCCTACAGCATAGGGAGCACCATGGTCTGTGCGAGGGGCCAAAGGCTGCTGAATCCATTGTGATAAATCCCCAAAGCCAACCCAGCATGGGTCTGAGGGTGCTCCCACCCTCAGGTG